AAGCAGTAAACTTGCAGTTTCTCCCGCCAAACACAACAGCAAAGTTGCAGCCGATGGACCAGGGTATCATAAAGTGCTTCAAACAGTCTTATTGTAAATGGCTTGTCAGAAAAATGATCTTAAATATTGTAAGCAATTAGAAGATTTGTAATTAATAAGCATTAATTAAATAATCCGACAATATTTTGAGAGTCCAAAACCGAATCTAACGGTAAGTCGAACTTCCGATATGTCGAAGTTTTTCGTCAGTCCTATCAGATTCGAGTTATCGCGAATTCACTGTATATAGACACTATAGCAGGGGTGGCGAACCTTTATGCACCAATGTGCCATTTTTTCTAAAAAAAATTTTTATGTTGTCATAGACGTGCCAACAAATCGTTTTGACTTCGTGATTATAGCGTAAGTAATAATACTAAATACTATCTACTCAAAACTATTTATTACAAAATAAAATACATTTTGCAATGTCTCAGTTATACGCATAATTCAACTTAAAGGAACATCAGTGTGACTTCTGTTGTTGCAGATTAGATGACAAATAACTTATATTAGGGTTATAAGATGTTAGTTTAAGCAGAACTGTTAATTAGTTTGCTAGTTATTTATTGTTAGCTTGTTTTTTATGGTTATTAATTGCTTTTTTGGCCTTAATTGTTCAGTCTTTTGTGAATTTTAATTTAATTGTTATTATGCTTCATATCGGAACTTCGTGATCGGTAGTGTGCCCAAAATATTGTGTCGCGTGCCATGTGCCATTGGTTCGCCATCCCTGCACTATAGTATGCAAATACAGATGCTTTATACTTCAGATAATAATACTCAATACTACATATGCTTTGAAAAACAAAAGTTCACATCAATGATTATTGAGCAGGAGAGAAAATTAATCCTGACTCCAATTCATCCACATAAGAAAAAGAAAAGATGTTGGTGAATAAACTACTGAGATTATGCAGACACATCATTTTATTCAGTGAGCCATGTAAATAATAATTATTTGTAAGTCAAACATTAATCTAACTAACTAAATAAAATACAAAAGCTCACTTTATCAATGTCCATTTCTGTTATGTCAGCTTCACTGATGGCTTTAGTATGAGCTATAAATAAGATAATATAATTTAACTTTAATATTCAAAGATTGAACACTAAAAGTATAGATTAAATTATTAAAATACATTCAAGAAACATGTTAGAATTTAAATATTCAAGGAACAGTTCACAAATGATTTTGCGCTTGGAGAAGAGGATTCGCGAGTAACAAGGAGTGTGACATCACACATTTTGGTTAAAATAAGAAAAAACATTGAAAATCAGCAAAATATATGGTTTTTCAAGAAAATAAGCATTCATCTCATTATTATTGTTGTTATGCTCACAAATGTTAATTAAACACAATGGTTAAAGTTTAAAAATAAAAATATATATTTATAGCATACTCTTTGTAAGTACATATTTATGTCAAGGTTGGGACTTGGGGAAAAAAAATTTTTTTTTCTTCCAAGACACAGGAAGAAAGCGGGAAGAAAATAAAAGTGACCAATATAATTATTGAACAATTACTATTAAATCAGTGTTTTCACTACAGCGCGAGAATGTCGCATATTTTTTTCTTTTCTCGGCATTAAAAAATTACTACCGCGAGAAATTCGCTCATTCTATAAATCAATTTCAAAATTCGCGCATTTCTCGCATTTTGGAAAAATCTTCGAATTAGGCCATTTAGAATAAAATCCATTTCACTTTTCTTGCTGGATCCTTCATTATTTTCAACATCTGCTCTGTTATCTAGCTTCCCTATTTACCAGTATTGTTCAGAACCTTTTCGAACAACAGAACACAACTCCTCCAAACCACGGAACCCCTTTCAGAACACATATCTCTGCAACTATGTGTTTACCATAGGTAAGGTTTCTTCATGTAAGACGCTCAAATTTTTTATGCACTAATGTAAGATGGACAAATACCTTGTAAAGGCAAAATCTTCTATGATGATGCACCGAAAATATTCAATGCTTTAAAAAATAGAAGACGTTAAAAATGTATTATAATTAAAGAAAAAATTTTTTCAAGAGTTTTTCTGTTTTTTAGTTTTTAGAAATCTCACTTAACTTTTTGAAATCTCACTCTGTTTTTGAGAAAGGGTGAGAAATTCTCACCCATTTTTTTTCTATGATGAAAACATTGTAAATGAATAGTTCAAATTTAAAGCAAACAAAACTTAATATAGTAAAAAAATAATAATAATTAAAATTTCTTACATTTAATCGTTTAAAAAAATTAACTATTTTCATTCTATTTATTTAGTTCTATAAAGAATTCTAAAATATATATAATCTATCACAATTATCAATTTTAAATTTGAATTTATTTCACTTTTATTTTCATACAAAATATGTTTACTTATATTTAAATAAAATATGAGTACTAATATTAATTTCAGTTTATTGAATATTCTATTTAACTTATCTGTGATACTTACATTATGTTATTATTTATATTGTTATTATTACACTGTTATGTTATTATTATATTGTTATAATTTATATATGTTATTATTATATTTTATTTGAAAATTCTTTATTAAAATAATAATAAAAATAATTAAAAATTCCTTACTAAAATAATAATATAAAAAGTTAAGTTCCTGCAATAATGCCTCAGGCTCTAAAAAATTTATAAGTTTTAGTTTTTAAAATATATATCGGTGATTTCAGTTTCAGCCTGTAAACCTCGAAAAGATACTGAAAATCGCAAAGGAAATGAAAAAAATAAAAAAAATAAACTATTACACTGCTCTGGGCATATGTATATATATATATTACCATCACAAACAATAGAATATTAAAAATAAAATAAGCACAACAGCAAATTTATGTAGGAAAATTAAACTAGACTTTTTTTCTGCATTAAAAGCAGGAAAAAGTAAAGTAATTTTGAGTTAAATTACTATAACATAGTTTTTTTTCTTTTCTTTTTTTAAATTACGTCCATCATTTGCTCTCTTGAGCATGAGAAGTCTTGCAGTCCAATATAAAAAAGAAATATCTTCACGGGCGGAGAGCATCTTGAAACTAGAATTATGGGCCTCCTGGAGGGCAGAGCAGTTCTATAGATGCCCGCCATTCACATGGGCCCTATTTGTAACATAGAGTAACATTCAAATCAAAAGTTATATGTTGTACTAAAGTTTCTCTATAACATTAGTACAACATATAACTTTTGATTTGAATTCTTCTTTTTTAATCAATTAATAATCACAATTTTTTCCTGGTCAAAAAATACTTTTTTTTTTTTAAGTAGACTATTCAGGGGTGATTGTGACACAAACTAAAAAACAATGAAAATTTTATGCATAAAAACTTGTTAAGCTATCAATTTATATACTATTCATAGATAATATAATTCTTTTATAATTAAATTACTTATCAATAAAGAATATCACACTTTTATAGTAACTAGTTTAGAAAAAAACTTAGCTTTTACAAGGATAACGATATTGGATTTAAAGAACGCGAAAATACAAATAGAATAATTGGGTTTTTGAATCTCGCTTAAATAAATACGAATTGCGACGCAAATGATGTACGATTTTTAAATCACATGAATACGATTCATAATGAATAACTTTTAAATTAAGTAAATACGAAAATCGAAGTTAGATATTAAAATTCAGTGAATATGGATCCCGATATTAGAGGATTCCAGTGTAGTTTCAAACATTAAAAACTATGAAAATCCGTCAAATCAAAAATTATAATTGCGTAAAAGTCACGTGCCTGAAAAGATTTTGTAAGATTTATAATAAGATAAGAAATCTGCATGGAAAACAAGAATATAGCAAAAGATTATCCAGTGTTACACTATCATGCTAGATACATTTTTAGCTAAAAAAGCTAAATTTATGTATAAAATTATACCAGCATTTATTATTAAAGTCATTTAAAACATATGTTACCACATATGTTCTAAGTTTAATTGCTACTGACAAAATCTGTTAATTGTGTCCGAGTTTTTTGTTATAAAGGCAAACAAAGAGGGAAAGGGATTTTACAGCTTTCTCTAAAAGTCAAGTGGTTTCGTAAATCAATTCAAGGTCATTTTGCCCTTAAAATGCGTTAACAAGTTTGAAATATTTTGGGAAATAGAGAAAGTGGATCTAAAAGAAAAGTTAGTTAAATAGAAAATACACTTCGCTATTTGGAAGTTATTTTATAAAAAAAATTCCAAAATGTTCTTAGTTCCTTGAAAAAAAATTGCAAAATAGAGAAATTCGCAATATGGAAGTTCATTAAATAGAAGTCTCCGACTGTATATAATGCCAGTAAAACTCATCACCGATTTAATGAGACAACTAACCTCTTATTGGTATAGGGTACATGAGAGGTATAACAGGAGAGCCATTTCTTTTCTTTTCAGGAAGCAACTTATCAACAAAGACAAGGAGGGGCCATTTGCTCTTCTGTTCAAATATACAGCTTTCTGGTGATGAGGACGAGATGACAGTATCTGGGCTACCAGCATCCCTATAAACAAATTCCAAATTTAATTTTATTCTCTACAAAATATATATTCACACATTTTACTTAAATTTTATCATGTCATGTTCTGAGACCGAAAAATAACAGTTAATGAATAAGTTAAAGGAGGTAAAAAAATTTATATTTATAAACAACCAAGTCAAAGTTCTTGATGATCACATCATAACATTTGGATGTTTTATGTTGGTTTCAATGTTATTCATGATGGTCTGACATCGTTCGATGGTTTACCAACAATCTTCCATCATTCCAAGATGGAAAATGGATCCCTTTTTTTTATTTTAACACCTTAAATGCCATGGGGGTCACCGGTGACCAACGAAGCCAAGATTATTAGAAACACATAATTTGAGCACATTTTCAATGCTTTTAATTTTTTTATATTGTTATTGTAACTAAAATGGTTTGAGGAAATTAATGCAATACATACTGAGTAAATCATTTTTACCAGGCGGGCAAGCCATGTAAAATTAGTGTGGCATTTAAACGTGTTAGCCATTAAAAGAATTTTGATTCTCATGGACCAACAATCCATGATGGTTTCAACTATATATTTCCATGAAGGTTTATTGGGAATTCTTGTTGGTTTTCAGGAATACACCATCATTCCAACATTTGATCTCTGAGAAACTATTATGGAAATTTCTGATGGTTCAGCATAAACAAACTATCAAAACAAGTTGCTATTCTTATGCCTGACTATCATAAATCCTTTTGAGTTCCTACATTGGGATGATGGTCACTTAAGTTGTTACCATTAAAAATAAAATGGTTCATGATGAAATTATTGATAGTTACCATCAATATTATGTTGTTCTATCAGTAGAAAACCATCAACAATTTTGAAATTTTTCCAGACTAATTTAATCAAATTTTCTTTTAATTCTTGTAACTGATGGCATACTTACATGGGTCTGTCCAAACATTTTGTGAAAGGTCTGTTTTTGTAAAATTGTGAAAAAATGACTCGTAATTTGTGAACATAAAATAAACATCAAGTCATATTCCATTTTTTCAAACAGGGTCCTGCTTTTATGAATTTGTGCAAATAGGGTCTTGTTATTGCAAAAAACTTTTTCAAGGAGTTTTTAAATTGTTAAGAGATACAAGATTATGCTCAACACTGTAAAATTATAATTATTAAATTTTAAAAAATAAATAGCAATTGCTGCTACTAAATTAGAGATGTAACATACAAATATTTGGTATTTAGCCTATTCTGCTGAGCACAGAATATTCATTTCGGACAAATAAAAGAAGAAGCGTCCGCCGAAGATGAAACAGTTCGTTTACATGTCCTTATACCCCCCACACTCCCTGGGAAGAATTTATTGGATTAACAAAACAATAATGAAGATAAACAAATTTGAGAAGGGTTCGATTATAAGATAAATTATTTTGTGAAGGTTCAGTTTTTAAGTTAAAATATTTGGTGAAGGGTCCGTTTTTATGAAAATATATTTTGTGAAGGGTCCGTTAACGGACACAAATTTCTTCTTAACAGACTCCTGACTAATTATTATTGATTGTTCAGTTCATGCACATAAAATGTATTTTAAAGCTTTTATTTACAATTCAAGAATAAAACAAACATTTTTTTATTAACCATTACAAGAATAAACCAAACAAACACACATAAAAAGACTCAGATACATAGCAGTAAAGAGATATAACACACAATTTTATTTTATGTCATTGCTAATTAAGAGTACAGGGTTGCCACTCAAAACTGGAAGAAAAAAATTCCCTGTGTTTTCCCTGTTCACTATCACTGTGCATTTGTGTGATCTATATTAGTCTAGTTATACTATTTTTAATTTCTGCAAAAACTTTAATAAAGAACAGCTTAACATACTTAAAACAAATAAATATATAATATATGAATACTAGTAAATATATAATAGTAAATGAATACTAGTAAATAGTTTAGTACAGCTGAAATATCCTTAAATATCCCATATCCACTTTTATAAGAAAAAAATAACAAATATAATTCCTAGTATTTTTCCAGTTTGTAAAGAAAAACTTAAAATGCCCAGCATTATCGATGATTTTTAAATTCTCTGTATTTTCTAGGTTTTCCCCATTTTCCCTGCAGAGTAGCAACCCTGAGAGTGGTCAGAACTAAAAATGAGTATTAGTCAAAGGGGGAAACATTTTGTCAGTTAACATAAATAAAATACAGTTATTTTATTATTGAAGGCAAAAATGTTTGATTTTGATAGTGCAATATTTTCTAATAATGTTATGGGGCAGTTCAAATATTAAAAAAGCACCTAACGGGTAGTTCATGGTTTTCTTATTTTTGTTGTTAAGGGGAAAGAGAGGGAAAAAAATACTTAAGTAAGTCATTTAAATCACATCACTTTCAAAATTTTTACAAAACTTAAAAAAGAACGTAACAAGATATTTTGGAAAACAATTACGCTTGGAAAAAGTAAATTTAAAGTGACAGTTAAGTTACGGGGTAAAATGATAGAACAAAGAGTTTTTTTAAGAGTTTCGTAGGTCAAAAGATTTAATCACAGAGAAAGAACACAAAAAGATTTTTAAGAAATATACTAATCAAAATTTTATGAAATAAATTAAAAAATAAATTGGATTATATTAGGAAAAATAAATCGTTTCAAACCTAGTGTATTTGATACCTTGTTTATTTAAATTGTTTTATATGCCTAGTTGAATGTAACCCTAAAATTAGATTACTACTGTAAAAGTCAAAGTTGATGCGAAAAACAAGGGGTCATTTCAACTCTCTTACATAAGCATTTGAGAGGATTGGAAATTTCCTTATTTTTGCTAACAAAAGAGATAAATCCAAAATTTCAACAACAATAAAAAATTATTACATAATATTTGAACGACCTCTTGTTTCTAAAAGAATATATTTTAAAATTTATAATATATTTTGAACATTTTTAGAATTATAATAAATTTAATATATTAAAAACAATAAAAAAAACTTTGAAGAGCTGTTGATGTATAATCACAGATTAAACCAAAACCGAGCATTAAAAAACAACTTTCAGAATTTGTAGAAAAACTTAAGGTAGAATTTTGCGATAAATATATAAGATAAAATATAAAAATATTAACAGCAATAAGTACAAAAATTTAAATTTGTGTTCATTTATAAGATAATTAGTCAAGTAAGTTTGGTACGTACCTAAAAATTTTGTTACTTGATTCTAGTTCACTGGACTTCAATAAGGTGTCAATTTCATTTTTTTCAATGGCTATAAATATGGAATAAACAAAATAAATAATTACTAACAATGTTTTCTGAATAAATATAACCTAAATAACATGCTTAAGAATTATATACAAAATTTAATAATAACATTTGCTTGTAATTTCGTTTGAGCTACAAGGTGTCCTGCGAATTAACGAGAGTAGTAATTTTGATAGAAAATTAAAACTTCTGAAACAACATTTTAAAATTGAAGTAAAATGTTCAGTTAGAGTTTAATAGAAATTCAGCATGCAGAATTCTTAATAGATAAAAACCATACATTCACCTTTATTCATTCCAGGGAACTCCTGATTATAGAAACCCCTGTATGGTGGGGAGGAAGGTGGTAGAATGGACAATGAAGGTGGGTGTTCATTTGTGTATGGATGGTAAGAATAGATATCATTTTGTCCAGGAATTGTAGAGCAACCAAGTCTACCTTTTAATTGGTTATCTGTTGTGAAAGGAAAATAAATCATTTACTGCAAACTACACAATAAAAAAAAGGAATTATGACCAAACAAAAGTATTACAGCGTGTGTGTGTGTTACACATAATTTGTTTTATAGATAAGTAATGTACAAGGGCTGTTTTTTAAGTAAGGGCCGTTTAAAATAAAAACCAAATGAAAGAAAAAAATTTTCACAGAGCAAATTTATTTTATGATTCTACAAAACGGTCCTTACTTAAAAAAAAGCCCTCAAATTATAATTTAGCAATAAGTTTCTTTGAATCATGTGCTTTATTTTTGCGTCATATTTATTTCATTAATATTAAATTTTGTTTGCAAAAAAAATATCAGGTTTCTAAAGTGTTTTAATTCATATAATTTTACCAAAGAAAGGTACTAAGTTAAATTTATCAGACAATAAGTTGATAATTTCAAAGAATAATTTTGTTCGACAATTACAAAAAAAAGTATTTTGGAAATGATAAAATGTGAGAAAAAATCCCACTTGTTGGATATAAGGACGGTTTTTTCAAGTGGGCCCAATCTGAAAAATTCTGCTGGGTTCAAATTGAAATATTATTGTCAGAATATTATATTATTGGAATATTATATTAATTAATAGTAATTCACTTTTAGACTTTTTTGAACCATTTTAATCAGTGGTATATAAAAAGGTAGCAAAGGGCAAAAGGAAATTCAAGTTTTATTTTTAAAATAAAAACTTTAAAAACTATGTTATTCAAGTAAATTGACAATTAAAAAATTTGGTTCTTGTCAGACTTAAATAATAAGCTTAACAACAATACTTACAGAAGAAAATGAAATTTTGAAGTAAAAGATATCTAATACTAAAGTTATATGTCCAACATTTTTTTGTTCGAGGTTTAACGAAATTGAAATTATTTTTTCCACTTGAAAAACCAAATTTTTTTCTTTTATTTGTTATGTTTTAATATGATTTTAAGTTTCAAGTAACAATAAAATGGCACACATTTTCTCTTGTAGCAGATAAAATCCTTAAAACTTGCAGCATTGTCATTAAGCATTATGTGAATGCATTAGTATAGAAAGAGGCAAAGACAATCAGCCTTGCGATTTTTACTAGTACAATTAATTAAAATAAAGAGATGTTGGATCGAAAATCCAAATATTTTGCCGCTAATCAATTATTTGAAAATCCAAAATTTTTATTTGCAGAAAATTGAATGCTCTAAACAAACTTAAAATACTATATCAGGACAAAAAGCTAAAGTCAGGTCAAAATATTTTTTATCAGAAATATCAGGACAACTAACTATGAACCCTGCATTTTGCCAATAGTGTGAAATTAGTCCCAGATACTTTGATAATGTAGAGGTATCAAATTCTTTTGGTAACAATAATTAATTTGGTAACCAATTAATGAATATAAAAAAAAAAAAATTATCTAAGCAAAATTTATGAGTAAAGAAAATTAAATTGTTTTTTAAAATTATTTCATTTTTACTTTTTTTTAAGTATGACGTAAAAATTTGAAAAAGTACAGTTATTTTAGACAGGAAAAATTTAAGCAGGTTATAAAACAAGACAGAGCGCAAGCAATAAAAAATAAATATTAAAAAATAAAATAACAAACCTTTTATATTCAAATCTCCAGATCCAAATACAGGAACAGCAGAAAAATTGGGCTTAATATTGGGCTCAATAATCCTTAGAGGAGGCAAAGTGGTCAATTTATTCATCATATTTTCAACATAGTTCTCATACCCTTCTTCGAGTTTTGACGAGCTTCTCCTGCATTTCTTTTTCAGAACAACTCCTCCTTCAGTTTTTACTGGTTCTTCTAATTTTTTCTTTTTCGGTCTTTTACGTTTAATTGGCTTCGGTTTCTCTCCTGGTGGTGGGGTAGGCTCTTTTTCTAACTGGGCTCGTCGAATATCTAAAAAAAATTAAAATAAGGAAAATTAAACTAAAATCACAATTAATTTTCGAACATTTTATTAAAGAGATTGAAACACACCCAAATAAGACTGCTTCTTTGCTTTTGCATCATCCAGCTTGTCTTTTCCATCCAAACTGCCCATATCAAACTGAAGATCCAGCTTGGAAAGATCATCCTCTTTTTGCAATTCCTATCATAGACACACAACAACTTAAATGATAGAATAATACACAAATTATAAAAACTTTTCTGGAAAAAAAAGAAGTTGCAACACATATTTAATACTACTAATAAGTAGTATGCCTTTAAGCTAACACAAATGAAGAGCAAGGGAGGAAGAAGTAAGAACTCTCCTGTCATTCGCCTGGACCCATGACGGTGGTTATAGTAACGAGGCATAACTATTTCAAGTAGGGGTGTTGGGTCACTGTTTAGAACAGGTTTTGGCTCGGGTCAGTGAGAGAAAGGGAATCTTTTTCTTTAGTCTATTGTGTTAGCTAGTGTGTACAATAGCAGACTGCCTCAGACTTTGTGGCAAGGGGAGTTCTTACTGCAGACAAACTATATGTCTATAAAAGCTGATTCAGAGAATAAACAATTTTGCACTTGGAAAGGTAGGGTTTTTCTGCAATACAGCCAAACTCCCCAGTGTAATAACTTAGTATTCATTGTGTGATGTTATCTGTATTAGGGTTCCACTCAATTTCAGAAAAATATTTCCTGACTTTTCCAGGTATACCAGGTGAAATTTAATGAAAATTAAGACCCTACTTTTATCAGAAAACTTTAATTCTTTTATTCGTAATTGGAATAGTAGATTTCCTGTATAAAAAGATATTAATAAATGAGGAAGCGAACATTTCCATTTGACTAAAATGTGAAATTTTTGCAACTAATAATTGTAATAGATGTTAGAATTATTTAACTCGAATCTCAATAACTAGTTACTGCTACTGACAATTTTAAGACTGGTTATTTTCCAGGTAAGATATAGGAATATTCCAGGTTTCTGTAAACAAATTGAACTTTCCCTGACTTTTGGAGTTAAAATAAAATTCCCTGACAGGTTCTCCCTCCCCCGTGGGAACCCTGTGTATACAGTAGAGAATAATTTATCCGGTACCCAGAAAACCAGGGGAAATTTTGCTTGGTTTTTCCGCCATTTTGAACTAGAACGACTGAGGAAAAAGTGGAAATTTGACTCATCCTTGAAGTGGGGTAGAGTCAAATGAGGGGGGTGGTGGTATTCTTATTTTAAGATGTGTTACTCTTTTTCGTTGTAATTTGGGTTCGATAAAACATAGATTAACAGCAGTTTTTGGTCAGCGCAGAAAACCGGGAAATTCAGACATCCGGAATAGCGATGGTCCTGAGCTTCCATTGATTGGTTCTCTACTGAACCTCTATTCACTGTGTAATGTTTTAAGAATTGTCACTATCTTTTGGTGGAAATAAAGCTTAAAAAGTTGAATTCTGTAGTTTTGCAGAAAAACAACATGTTTGATCATCTAGATTAAATTAAATAAACAAAAAGGACAACAAAATTTAGAAGTGATTAATCTATGTCACGAGCATATTGTGTTGTAGAGGGAAAAAATCCTACTATTATATCATTTTTACGAAAAATGATAAAGCCATCACTAAATTTGGAAGAAAAGAAAAAACATGTTGAGAAATTGAATTATTCAGAATAAAATAATGAAATGCTGATTTGAGGAGAGAAAGGTGAAAAGTTAATGAATCCTGACTAATTAGGGTCAGGAATACACAGATCTTACCAAACATGGTAAAGAAGTACATCTCCCTCTTGAGGGGGTGGTGCAAAAGAGGGGAAAGAAGTAAAAATCTGGGTGAAACCTGTCAAGAATGTAACAGTGATGAAGGCAAGCAAAAAAAAACTCGTGGAAATGAGGGAAAGGGAATAAATATATATAAAAAATTGAGAACGGGGAGTGAAAGTGACCTTGAATGTACAGGGTATCTACTGCATAATCCATGACTAATTCCAAGAATTTTTCATGACTTAATGAAGTTACTATCTTTTCGGACAAAAACACAACAATAAATTTAAAAAAGCATTATAATAACACTAATTGAAATGATAGGTATAACCAAAACTGTTATACTCTGCATCTTCATATTTATAGATTTTAGTTTAAAACAGGGTAAAGAAAGANTTAAAAACCACGTGAGAGAGCTCGGGAACAAAACAGAAAGAACGAGAAAGATCCGCGGGTGTTTTATAAAAAGGGCCGCCGGCAGTATTGGACAAATTCAAGGACCTATCAAGTTTTTCAAGGACCTAAGACGTTTTTCAAGCACTTTCAAGGACCTAAATTTAGCAACAAAAAAAATTCAAGGACTTTCAAGGACTCTCAAGGACAGTGGGAACCCTGTTAATACACATTTGAAGTTTTTACTGTACTATTTTTAATTTAAGCCTAGGAGCACCAGTCTCGGTTTTCTCAAAACATTCAGAACTGCAGAGACAGATTTCATGAAAAATGTGAAAACTAAATTAGTGCAGTAGCAGGGAAATATACTACAATTTTAAAATAAAAGATAATGGGAATTATACAAAGGTTTTAGACTAAATATTTATTTTAAAAATTCAAAAGAGAAATAAATAAAAAAAAAGCGTACAGAAATTAGGTTTTCGTACGATAGAAACAATTTTTCAGACATAAAGAAAATACATACCAACAAACTTTCAGTACTTTTCCTGGGTGTTTCAGCAGATGGGCAATTCTGAAGTAATTGTTTTAATAACACATTTTGCTCTGCCTGCTCTCTTTCCTTGTCAGCGACAGTTTTAGTCAAATTCTCCAATTCCTCATCAGAGGAGCCTTTAATATTAAATATACAATTCAAATATTTCAATTCCTCATCAGAGGAGCCTTTAACATTAAAAACACAATTTAATCAATGAGATAATATCAATCTATTATTGATAAGTGCAACAAAAGAATTTGTTATATAAATGCGACAGTTAGGATATGTCTGTCAGATTATAAAATTAACCCGCGGCACAATTAAAAGTCATAAGAGCTGGAACTGCTTTGAGTGTTCAACTTCACATTATATTTTGTACAGCAGCTCAAAGGCTACTGGACTTAGAAACTCAAATTGCACATATGTGGAGAAAAATATACAAGAAGTGTGAAGAAACAAAATTATTAGCTTTAGAATTAAGATAAGATTAGAATAATTAAGATTAGGATAATTAGCTTTAGACTTATTAACTAATTATTGAAAACTCATAACTTGTTGAAAAAATATTATGCGGATAGCTCACAGTTACATAACTAGAGAGTTTAAATTTAACATGCTGAAAGAGTCATTTTTATTTATGAATTTAACAACAACAAAAAATCTTAACTAAAAAAATTTTTCTCACATCAAGTATTTCAACAAAATATGGTATAGTTAATAGTACATAATAATATATCACTGATGAATTAGAATATACTTGCTTTTTTTATTCATTTCCATGAATCAGTATTAAGTAGATGTATCGAATAAATAAATTTCAGTTTAAACAGTATACATTTTTCATATTATATAAATAGTACTATATACCATTTTAGTACAATAATATATTAATAAGTAATATAAATATATTAATAACTCCAGCAACAAAATAACTTACGCCTTCATTGGACCAATATTCATGAATCTTGACTCATCAAGGGTTCAAAGGATCTTTATTTTTTTGATATTGTCCCTACATAAAAATTTTCGATTCACCCGATATTTCACAGCCACTTTACAATCAATATCAATCCTATATAGAATTATCAGATTCACCCGATATTTCATATCCATTATTTAGCCGCTGTGGGCCCTATATAGGCAGGCCATTCTAGGACCAATATTGAGCCAATTTTAAACTCAAACGCGGCCAAGATACAGCTGTTGCTAGGGAATTTAGTAAATATTGTACTCATGTACCAAATAGTACTAAATTTTACACTATATACCAGGGATGGGCAAACTTTTTTGGTCGAGAGCTAAAAAAACGAGAGAGAAAAGTTTGGTGGGCCGAGTAAAAACTTCTAAAATAAAAAAAGGTATCCAAGTTTTCATTTAAATATTTAATGAGATAAATGAAATTGCGATTTTATTTTTAAAAGTTCCTTATATTGAGGTTCGAAGTGAGATGAGCTTAATTTAAGGCTAAATGCTTCTCTGTTAGTCTACTTCTGAAATTATTTTTTCTGAAGTTCATAGTTGAAAACACTTGTTCACAGATATAAGATGAAGCAAACATAGCACTGATTTTCTGGACAGGAGATATTAAATTTTGGAAACTAGCTTTTGATAGTGATTTGCAAAACTCAATCTTTGGCATGTTTAGAAACAACAATAGTGTGCAATCTTTCCATACTCAATAAATAATGCTAGAACTCGCACTGGCAGAAAAATCCGCTCGCTGGAGCTTAAAATGCGCTGTCTGCCACGTGTGAAGCACAATTCACCTATGTCAGATTCTATATGTCTGATCTTCGAGAAAGATGAACGCTTGTTGGAGCTAATCTGCAGCTCTTCTACAAAGAACTTCTGCTTTCAGCATTTTACCAATTGAAGCTGTCTGTGCCAACTATTTCCATCAATTCCACCAATAGAGAAAGTAAAATCGTTATCAGTACTTTGTTTAAAAAAAAGGAACAAAAATAGCTTTAAACAAAGTAGATAAAATAATGGATGTATAATGTATCTTGTTTACATCCGCCACGAATCGGCAAGTTAAAATTCTATTCGCGGGCCGGATAAAACCTTACAATGATCCACAGTTGGCCTGTGGGCCGTAGTTTGCCCATCCCTGCTATATACCATTTTAATGCTATATAAATAGAATTCAATTGTTTCAAAAATAAAAACTTTTAAAAAAAAAATAATAATTAAATAAATAAATTTAAAAAAACACCAATAATTCATTTTTACCATCAGCTTCCTCTTTCTTGCTTTCTTTAGTTGAACTATCTGCATCTTTCTCCATAATTTTATCTTCAACTCTATTTGAAGTGCTGTTCTCAACCAAACTTGGTGCATCATCAACAATTTCTTGTTTGATATTCAATAAAATATCGGTTTTAATTTGTTCGTCGGATTCAGGTTTATTATCTTGCTCAGATTTCTTTTCAAGTTCCTAAAAAATTACATTAATTCTGTTTTGAGTACACATTGCTCTTTGACTAAAAATATTTCATTATTGATAACAATGATAAAAGTTAATGGTACACTACAAAGCTTACATCAAGAGCAAGAAGAAAAAAGAAAAACGCAAACTACGATACCACAGAAGAAAACTTTAATTTCATAAGAGAATTTTTAACTAATAATCCACACTACTGACTTAGCTTACAGCTAAATATTAAAATTGAAGGTAGCTAGTAAAGTGGAATCCTAGCACAATCATCAGTTTTTAAACGCCTTTCATCATAATCTTTACTGAAAATAAACTCCATGTCTTCTCATATCATCTATTACATGGGAAAACTATTCATCCACGAATTATATATAGATCATATTTTTACAGGTTAAAAATTCAATTGGAAATGAGTTTGGTAATCATTACAATTATGATTTATTTTGCAATGAATAAAATTTGTTTGTTAAAAAACATATTTCTATGTTGTATTAATATTTTAAAAACTAAAACCCTAAATTTTATTTGCTGAAAACATTACATACAATGTTTAAATTTTACATAAACCTACTAGGCGAGATTAAGAAACTGTTTTTTCATTGTAGTGTTTTTATCTACATATAGAAAATATTAATACTTTTTTGATAGTTTATAATTTTCAATTCTTGAAAAATGTCTACTGCTGCACAGTAACAAAATTTCCTTTAACTTTGAAATATAGCACAAAATGGTAGACGTCATATTTAGCAGCATGTTTTAAAAGCAAGAAATTTTTTTTAAATATATTATTGAATAAAATTTTTATACATGTTCTCTATAAAACTATGATACAGCACCCAATGTTGGTTTTTGGAACAAAAATTTTTGCTTTATAAAATTTCCATAATTTTTGCCACGAAATTCTATAGCAAAGTTTTTGATACAGACTATTTATAAATATAAGCTTGGATAAGTAAGTAATAAGCGAGATAAAAACACATAGATTTTTTAAAATGAATTTCAAGACTAAACGCATGAATTTTAAATTAAGTGACTTAAAGTCTGCTACAAACCTGAGGTTCTGAGTTTAAAGAACCAGGCTTTTGTTCAGCAGATGAGAGAGGTTCAGAAGGAGCAGATACTCTGCTTTCTTCCAAATTGGTGATAAGACTTACTTCTGCAGAGTTACTTGCTTGCTGCTCTGTTTTGATGACGTCTTGTTTACTGTTGTCAATAACTGGCTGATCTGCTACTTTAGGGAAATCTTTGATTTCTACCTTTATATCACTTGAAGGCAATGTTGTCTTAACGTCACTGATTTTAGAAGGCAATTCAGGCCTCTGAATTGTATTGTAAGGCAGCTGGAGAAATAGTAATTTTTGAGAAAAAAACTAGCAAGTCACCAAAAATAATATATGTCAATCAGGATTTTAGATCTAACAATTTTTGTTTTCATAGCTGCTTGCATTGTTACTCAAAAAATTAATGAGCATAATAGGGAAATATATTCATACCTGCCAAGTCTCCTGCTTTTTAATGAAGACTCCTGTATTTTACGACTATCTCCTGTTTACCTGTATATTTTGAAATTTCTCCATATTTGTAGAAGAAATTTAAGAAGAAAAAGAAAAAGAATTTTGGCGATAAAATATCTGCTAATGGTAAAAATACTTCTCGTATTCCTCAACAGTTGTTGCTATTGCCAGTATTGCGGTATGTTGAGTATTTATAGTTTAAGTAATTATAAATAATAATTTTAAAAAATCTTCTTTAGATTAAGATTTATATACATATTTTTTACTTCGCTAAATATAAGTGCTTAAATTATTTCCAATTTTGATTTTAAATATGCAAGATGTATCAAAACTTTAATGTGGCCCAAAATATGTGGTAAGTAAAATCTACATTGTTTTATTTCTCCAAAGTTGGCAGGTATGTATATTATATCAATTTTAAGAAACTACATTCAAATTTATATTTAAAGAAAAGTACAATAAATGATCTCAATAATGCAAACCTAGAAAGGTAAAATTGTGAGCTACATAGAATTTTGTATAGATCATTTTACACTATGCTTATTTTATCATTTCACATTATTATTAAGCTTAAGCGCTAAATATCGTAATACAGGTCTTGAAACAGTAAAATATTTATATATTTAAAATAATTTTTATGTGAAAATTACTTAACACAAAAATATAAGCTAGAAATATTTATTATTAACAGAAAAAAAAACTGAAATTATCAAGAGCATTAGAATTAACAACATTTTGGTTTGCTTTAGAGATAACATTCTGCAAAAAGAGGGGAAAAAAAAGAAAGAAAAAAAATCACCCATTTTTTCTCAGTATTTGACATTTTAAAATAAATTTTTCGAAGCAACAAAAATTTGTACTCATAAAAGAAAAAAAACATGATATTCAATCAAACTGTGAGAAATACAACAAATTTCTAATCAAAAATAATCATAGATGCTAGGCTAGAAGTCTTGTTTAATGTTGTAGACCAGTGTTTCCCAAACTTATGACTTTTGTGTACCCTTTCTAAATTTTTCGTAATGCTGTGTACCACTAATAAAAAAATTAATGTATTTTTTTTAAAAATATGTTTATTTTTCTTTCTTGGTACTAAGTTTTGTTAATATGTTTATTTGCATCAGTAAGAAGGATGATATTGTTTTTGCTGTGAAAACAGCTGTTATGATAAAAAAAAATTGCACATAAGTTAAAAATCACAGCTGGCTGTTGACACCACTAATTATTAACTGTTAACTCTGCAAAAAGTAGCCAATAGAAAAATTCGTAATCGCAAATTTTCGCTTGTTGCAAGATATTTCGCATAAGAACGTGTACCCCTGCTGAACTGTTCCCGTACCCCTGGGGGTACGTGTACCACACTTTGGGAAACACTGTTGTAGAGAAATAACAATTAAAATAATCTATGTTTATTTAATTTTACTAGCACTTATCAATTTCACTGCCTGATTAACTGGTCTTAGATATTTGTTTAACATTGATTACATAGTCGTGGCCAAAATCAGTGTTAATAAAATTTATTAAATCAAAACTAAAATTGTAAATGAAATCAAAATACAAATTACAAATTACTAACCGGTCGATTTATTAATAACAGCTACTTTTAGTCAATGTAATTAAACGGATTAAGTAGCATTGGGACATAGGCGTGCCTCTTTCTATATGTGTTACGGTTAAACCTGATAAATCCGGCTATTATTAATACTAACCAATCAAAATTAATAATAACCGCTTCTTTTGGTCGAAGTAAGAAATAAAAAGGGGAGATTTCCGTGTCGTGACCTGTGGCAGAATAATCACCAAGTCTTGGCAACTTCTGGTGAGTATTAATAATAACAGACAATTCACATTGACAGCAACATATGGAGATATATCACTTGAAGCCTGAAAGTTGGCATGAATACAGTAGGATTCATGCCTACAGGTTTGTTTGATTATATTTTAACAATGATGTCACATCACAACATGCACCAGAAATGTTCAAAGCCTCAGCTGTGGTGGTATTGCTAAATTTACCCCATGCGTGCAAGCCTTAAAAAAAAGAGCTTTAGAGCATGAGAAGTCCTGATTAAAAAAAAATTACATTTTACATTTCAAAAGCACAAAAAAATTTCCAGTTAGATTATTTTATTCATAGCTACCAACATGGATAGGAAAAAAAATCCAGTAGATATTACAAAATAACATAAACCTTGCGATAACTGTTGCATAATAAACTAAATATTTTATATATAGGGAATTTTAGGGATTTTCATTCTCACCAGAATACAAAAACTTTATCACTCTAATAACTATATAAATGGGCTGCAATACTTTTTGTTTATCGACATTAAACGAACTAGAAATGTTTTTATTATGTCAACTAAATTTTAATATTAATAAACTAATAATTTTAAAAAAGTTAGTTAAAATTTTTTATAATTAATTTAAAGAAGGAATTCTGAATAAAAATGAACTGAAAATTTTAGATTAAAAAAGATTTAAGCTGATTACTAACAATGAGGCTCGCTTCATTATATACTAACAATACTTATTTAATTATTCAAGCAAGCAATAAATTCTATTTCATTAGGGATTTTTTTAGGAAGCTTACTTAATTTAAGGAATTTTTAAAAATGTACCAAAACCTGGAGAATTTTTATCAAACCAGTAGACCAGTAGAAACTGGGTAAATCCAATAGAGTTGGCAGCCATGTTTTATTGAATTTCCTTGATTATTGTAAAAAGTGGCTAAATTTTATTATTAATTTTTCAGCTATGCTTTTTTTATACATAGAATGTATTACAAAACACTTATACTTATTATCAGACGTGAAAATAAATTTCTCGGATTTTTCCAGATTGATAAAATTACCTGTTCTCAGGGATTCCCTGCACTGTGGTTACCCTGGTTCCGCAGTATCAATTTTTTTGACGCATTTAAAAATAAAAATTTGAAAAAAGCATTTTATATCCTTCAGTAAGCAAGCAAAAAAGCCCAAAAATTAAAGTTACAATAAAAACAGTAAAACACCAGTGAGTAAGACAAAACATCATAGAATGCAAGATTAATAAAGAGAAAAACACCAAAGAGAAAATTTAAAGAAATAGAATTAGGTAACAAGAACTTTAAAGAGTACTTCTTCCAAATGCTAAAATATAACAAATTATTGTTTTCATATTTCCTATAAGAAATAAATTTGCAACTAAAATAAGCATAGAAAAAATAAATTTTTTCTCTACAACATAAAGTTTGTTAAGAAACCAACAATTAATTGAATATTTCATTAAAAATTAGGTTTTTCTTGTATACGTATAAATATGTTTTAATAAAAAAAATAGTTATATTTTAACATTTGCAGACACAATAGCATAGCTACCAATAAAAAAGATTTAACAAAAAAAAAAAAAGAGGATTTAAAAGAAGATTTAACTAAACAAAAGCAAACTATTGATCAACAAGAAAGAAAAAAAATACACACGAAGGAAATTTCAGACCTTTTTATAATTTGTAAATGGAAAGAAAAAAAAGTGTATTACACTTAGGCCTATAAATTTAAATAGCAAGCTTTTTTGAAATTTAAAAAAAAATTAGGAGAGTTCAAAGTTAAAAATTTTCACAATAAATATTTGTCTTTGTTAAAACAAATATTTAAACAAATTTGTTAATAAAATGAAAACAAAATAAATATTTTTTTAAAAACGAAATGAAACTAAATATTTTTTAAAATCGAAATGAAACTAAATATTTTTTTTTAATAAAACAAACAAAATAAATAAAACAAAGATAAATAAAGATTTTTTTAAGTTCCTTAAAAATAAAAAATAAATTAAGTCGAGTGAAAATTTTGATATGGAATTTTTTTTAAAAATTATTCTTAACTTTAGAAAAGTTTTAGAAATTTCCAACACAAAAAAATTTATTTTGACAATAGAAACTGGCAAAATCCAATAGTATTGATAGCTATGCAACAGTTATTAAGGTGATGGGAAAGAGAGAGAGAGAGCCAGGAAATTGAGAAAAAAAATCACCTCAGATGAATTGTCAACGTTATTATCAGCTTCAGCAGAAGATAAGCAGACAGTAGGCATTCCAGTTTGGCGCAACGTAAACTTTAAGGTATTTGTGACAGAACTCGGTAAGCTCTGAGCAAGAATAGAAGGGGGGACCTGAAAGGTTAGTTAGATTAAAAGGGAGAGGCTAGTTGGTTAATTTATTAATTGGTTGTTAATTAGAGAGGTGAGATCATGAAATGGAATATTTCAAAACACAGGCTCAGAGAAGAAATTATAAACTCTAAATTGTTGCTAAATAGCATCAGCAGAATGAACTAAAAATTTATATATACTTACAGCAATTTTTGGTGGAAAAAGTATTATCAAAACAAAAATATTATATAGTGCAGTAAGGAAAGAAATATAAATAAAAAAAAGTTATCTAAAGTTTATTAAATATTTTATTTTAAAAATAAATATGATTTTTAAAGCTATCCGTGCATAGAAAAAATATGGGGTGCGATCAAGTCAACAAAATCATGAAAAATAAACAATAATTTATTAAATATTTAGATTAATGCAAATTACAATGGCTACAAGTTAATAAAATGAGATATGAATTTAGCTACAAAAGGGGACATTCAAATATTACATAAGTGCACGATACATTTTTCAGACAAAAAGGGAGGAAGAATATGAACAATGCTTGCGTAAAAGGTAATTTTTTTAAAAAATGCAACAACAAAAAAAAAAAGAAGAATTAAAAACAAAATTATACATTAATTTTAAATGTTAAGTTCGAGGAAAGAAAAAGAAGAAATATTTTTTTTTGAGGAGTTTCAAAGGTCAAGAGTTTTTACCACATCAAGAAAATATATAAGATTCTTAAACAATATCCAAAATTTCATAAAATATCAAAAAAATCAAAAATTTATCAGATGAATTGAAACATATAAATTATTTTAAACAGAATTACATATTTGAATACTAAAATTAAAAAAAATATTTGCTAAAATTAATAAAATTAAAAAATTGCTAAAATAGTTTTAAAAAAAGGTAACTTTTGTGTTTAAGCATGGAAATAAATTTCTGATTTGCTTATTTTTGAAGACATGGGGAGTTTGAAATTGCCCAAAACATACTCATGTAATATTTGAATGGCCCCTAAGTCTGTAACCTGAAAAAATGTGGCACAATTATCATAGCAAAAGCAATTTTTTATCAAAATAAATATAATTTTGATCAATAAAAGTCATGACAACTGAAACTGAAATTTTTTTTAAAAAAAAAATCATAATTGTTTCATAGGTCAAGAGTTTTAACCAGAGAAGAAAAACTCAAAAGACTCTTAAAGAATATGCTAATCAAAATTTTATAAAATAAACTAAAAAGTAAATTTGATTATTCTAAGAAAAATAAATTGTTTTATACCTAGTTTATTTAAATTGTTTTATTCTTAGTTATTATGCCCAGTTTATTTGAATTAAATCCTAAAATTTGTTTACTACTGTTAAAGTCAAAGGGTGATTTCTTTACTTTTGCTGACAAAAAATATAAATCCAAAATTTCAACAAAAAAAAAAAAATGCTTGCATAATATTTGAACGACCTCTTATTGCTAAAAGAAAATTATTTAAAATTTAAAACATTTTTGAAAAATTTTACAATTATAATAAATTTTACAAAAATATTAAATTGGAGAGGCAACCTTGACTACCTCAAATTTTTAAAACAATTTTTATCTGAATGATTATTTTTTAAAAACTTTAGTGGGACCTTCAATGAAGTCCTCAAAGAGCAAATGAGTAAAATATATGAATGTTAAATGAAATAATATTTTTCATTTCAAGTATTTCCAATCTGTCTAAAGTATTTACAGTTAAAAAAGTAAAACATAAATAAATGCAGGAAAATAAAAAATATATGGAATAAAATGCATGAAACTTATATTTTGCTTACCACAGAATCTTTTAATGGATCTGATAAAGATTTTTCCTCTTTCAGCATGGAGGTGATTTGCACTAAAATAAGAAACATAAAACTAAGTAAAATTCCAAATTTCTTTACTAACGGTTGAAAGTGACAATATTTCAGAATAAACTTTCAGATAAAACAACATAAATGGTTTGAAAAAAAAAATTAGCTTTAAAATAAAATATAAAAAAATCATTAAGTATTTTATGCATATTTTGTTTTAAATCAGAGAATCGAGGAGGTAAAAACAAGTTTAGAAGATAAATAGAATAATTGTAAAAAAAATCATTTGTACTTGTGATTTCCCAAGTACCATAAATATTTCGTATTTGTCCATTTGTGGTTTCCCAAATGGACAAATTCGGAAGATTTTTTTTCTATACCCTTTCCTTGTGATATAATAACAGAGGAAATTATAACATTATACTATTAACAACAATAATTAATAATATAATAGCAGGAGAATTAAATAAAAAATGTTAAAAAATTAATTAATTCAGAAAATAATAACATCTGAAAAGAAAACCATTTATAATTTAATTTGTATTTGCGCTTTCCTAAATAAGTAAATTTAAAACTTTTTTTTCTTCATATCTTTTTTTACATAATAACAGTCCCCTGTTATTATGTATGTGCATTATAACATTAATTAACAACAACATAAATTAAAAATAATAGGGGGAATTTTAAAAAAAAAGAAATGTTAAAAAAAATAAATTAAAATTAGAAAACAAAATACAACATTTCTATAGAAAAATCAATGGTATTTCTGTTTTCCTAAATTCAAATAGACAAATTCAAGAGAATGTTTTCTTTTTTTTAATACACCATTTCCCTGTATATTAACACAGAAAATCTGGCTATGCTATGAAGGACACAAAGCTGGTAAAAATATAGAATTTTCTTTTAATAAAAAGACTTTTGTAGTAACACAGAAATTCATATGAAGAAAATTCAATAACAAAATTAATTAAATAAAATAAGACTACTCATAAATACTAACTTCCTTCTGCTGAAACCATCTTTGATGGAAAATTAGAACCTTCAGATGGATCAGAAGTTGCAGATGATGTGGCAATTTGTTCAAAGAATTTTTTGTTATTCATATCTTCAGGAAGTTTCTTTATATCAAGCAAACCTAAACAAAATTGTTTTTAAAGATAAGTAAAAAAATCAATTTTACAGAAAAAAATTTAATTGCAAAACTGTTTCAAGAACTTGAAAAACAACTATATATTGTGACAGGATTTAGAAGAATAACGAGTACATGAACAATAATAGAATTTCTTGTATCATACTGAAACAACTTGTGAATGACAACTACCGCAGAAGAAAATTTCGGTTGCAAATTCTCTTTATCCTTCATTACTAATTTAAAAGAAAGAAAAAGAAAGTACAAACATTCCTACATTAAATCATAAAGTTTTAGTTTCTGAAAAAAATACTTCAAAATATTAAAATGCAAACAAATTAAAATAGAAGAGAACTTTACCATTGCATAATCCTAAGTTATCTTCTCATAATTTATTTTCATGTGTATTCTTTAACATTTTCTTTTCAGTATTTGAAACTACGTGGCATACTCTAGGCTTGTCTGAACTCACTTTTTCCACACTTTAAATTAATTTAATTTTAAAATTTATTTAAATTTGTCGTAATTAAATTTCCATTTAAATTTCTCATTCAGTACCATTGTCTTCTCATTAATCTATCATCTTATTTTCTGACAGAGATTTGAGGTTACCATAACTCCTGTCTCAGCTTATTTTTCCCTTCTTAACAAAAGTGCAGGTCAGTACAAACAGAATTGTATTTTTACCACAAAGTTTTGGTACATGGTCTAATATATATAAAAACACATAGTTTCAGGTTAGCCACTGAAAAAAATGGACAAAATACTTGATTTTAGTAGCCTAAAGCATGAAAATAGTTGCCCTACCAAAAATTAATCAAAAATATGACTAAAATTCTGTTAATGACTAATTGTCATATACTAGGGCTGTCCAACTGCAAAGAGACCATGGGCCATAATTCCGGTCACTGATCACCTGGAGGGCCGCAGTGTGAAAAAGTTGAACAATAACCTCTTATCCCTTATACAATAACAATTAATAGTTGAATTATTAATTATAAAACAATGGAACAGAAGGATTATAAAACAATTTGCTTACATTTTAATGGGAAAACTGAGACCGATCAGCCTGAATAAGNTTATAATTAGTTGATTCCATGGGATAATTATGCTGCGAGCTAATATAGGATAAGTACCCCATTTTTTTTAAATGATGCTCTTTAAACACATTAATTTTTAATTGCAAAATAGTCTTAGCATTTATAATATACATAACAATTTAATTACCGCGGTATATCATAATATCGTGATATGAAGCTCACAATATACCACAATATCGAAATTCTGACATTGCCCAGCCCTAATATATATATATATATTGTGGAAAGTGATTACTCAAATTCAAAATTCACGCATTGTAATATCGTATTAATTTTTTATTTTTTTTTAAATCATGCAGAATTTCTAAGCAATAACCATTGAAAAGGCAACGAGAAAAGAAATAGAATTACAAAAGAATCTGCAGATTGAATGAATTAAAAAGTGAAGACTCAAATTTGAAATTCAAAATTTTTAACATTTTTTATTTTTTAAGAAAGCTATAGTGGGCTGCAGAATTTGAACCTAATTTATGCAAAAAAAAGAAACAACGCTAGGAGTACAGAATAGTCTCCTCTTCCTGAACATAGTTGCTTTTTGTAGCCTTTTCACGCAAAAAAAGTTGCCATAGTCGCCTTGTGCCGCAAATGGTTGCATTTTAGTCGCCTGTGGCAACCCTGTCGTTTGCTTCAAAATGACGTAGTTTTCGAGAGATATACTCTCCAGATTACTTGATGAAACCTAGGGTAAGTAGATATATTTAATAAAACCATCTCAACTTTAATATTCTCAAAAACATGTTATGAAAACTAGAAAAAAAAAGTACAGGGTTCCCACTCAATTTTAGAAAAAAATTTTCCAGGCATAACATTCTAATGAAAATCCATACCACATTTTATCTATACCTTGCTATTTTTCATGAGAAAACTTTGATTTTTTTTTTTTTTTTTTTAAATTTTATAATATGGAATATTAGATTTTGTGAGCAAAAACATGTAATAGAATGAAAATGGAAAAGTTTCACTAAGAGGTGGATTTTTATAAATAATTATAATAAATGTTAGAATTACTTAAATGGAATCGCAATAACTTAATACTGTTTTTGACAATTCTAAGGCTGAATACTTTTCAAGCATAAAATAGGAATTTTCCAAGTTTTTTGTAAAATAATTGCAGCTTTCTCTGACTATTCCCTGCTGTTTAGAGTTAAAATAAAATTCCCTGACAATTCCAGGTTTTCCCTGTTCCTCGTGACGTGTGGAAACTCTGAAAGAAGGTACCTATAACTTGAAAATATGAATGAAATTTGTACGAGAACAATATTAATAACTTACTTTTCAAATTAGTATCCATGAGAGACGAGGCAGTGGTCGTTGGAGCTGGAAACGATTGTTGATTCAATGTATTCTCAAAATTTTCTTTTTTTACAAATCTATCACCCTGTTGTTGCAAATTATCATTCTGTAATAAGCAAAATTAAACAACGAATAAATAAAAAATAACCCAAAATGTAATAACAAAATTATTTTTTAAAAAATTTAAGTTAGATAAAGAATTCATTTTTTCACAATAATTAGCCAGTTACACAAACATTATACAATGTTCAAGGAAAAATCATAACTCCATGCAAACTGCGTATACTCAAAGGCTGCTATAACTTAAGAGAAAAGAAAAACATGCCATAAGAAAAATATTACAAAACATGTTGACTGTTTTTTTTTAAACATTTAGATTAAATACTTTAAAACTGAAAAAACGTATTTATAAAACTGCAAAAAAAAACAGTTATTATTCATTTGATGCTCTGAAATTAATCTTCAAATAATTACATGAGTAGCCTTTTGCACTGAAGGGATTTAGAACTGAGCTATTTATATTATTACTATGTGGTATCTTATTATTATGCTAATTACTAAATCAATTCTTAACTAGTCTTTCATTATTGTAGAAACACAAATTCTTTCACAGAACTCAAAATAATCTATACTAGGTCTTATATTTTTCTTTTCTTTTTAAGAAGCAACAATTTCAAAAGCTAAGCAAACCAAAAATTGTTAATTTAGTAGTTATTAGTTTTAATGCATTACAAAAGTTTGATTTCTTTTCTTCCTCTTTTTGCTCGAAATGACAAATACTTTACATATTTTTGTGTTTACAAGTATTTGTAACAAAAAAACTATTTTAAAGCATTTAATGATTGATCTGCCACAGATTAGTATTGCTGTTTCAAAAATGCTGTTATATTCAAAAAAATTATACTATAATTATGAAATTAATATATTGATACAGTCTAACATCAATTTTATGTCAATTTTAATCATTTTATGTCAATTTTAATCATTTTACGAACAAATATAATCATCTATTCAAGAGTGGAGGTAGTTGAAAATTTTCATTCACAAACTTTCTAAGGAATTGTAAAGAGACTCATTTGCAACAAAGTAACAAAAAATAGCTTGAACAAAGAAAATACAAAATATGAAAGCTTACTAAAAAATCATTACCTAACTATAAAATAAGATAGAAAACATTACAAAGTGTAAAATATTTGCAAATTTTCAAAGTGGCCTTGTTATTATTAGGATGTTTTTTCCTTTTTGCTATTGGCCACAAATAACTTACAGATATTCTGTCCCATTTTTCATATAAGACATTTTTAAAAATTTTGTATAAGCTCTCGATTCCAAGATGAACTAAATAATAAGAAATACAAGTCTAGTGAATATGGCAGACATTTTTGTGGTGTTTAGAATCAGTAATTTATCCAACATGTAAAATTATGGGTGCTTTTGTTTTCTATGGATCATGACACCTAACGACTTGTTGATTGAATTGTGAAAACGTTGACTGTACCATAGTGAATACCACTTATTTTTGCATAATTAATGAAACAATAAAATTAAGCACATTTTACTAACACACAGTGAAAGAAGTACCTTTAAAGGCTGTTTAAAAAAGAAAATAAAAAATAGGCACTTTGTTTCAAAAGCTGTTAATCGGAGCAACATTAGAGAGACAATTTTATTTTATTTTATAACTGCCGCTGAACGTCCGACAGTCATCGAACGGCTGACCTAATTTATTGGGTTTACAACTACTAATGTTCGACTTCGTTGTCTTGTAATTTTAAACCCAATCCAGAAAACAAAGTAACTCCTGCAAGCATTGGGAGATATTTGTCCTTATGGAGATCTTTTTGATGGAATTAACCCGCAATTTAATTACATGAAATAAAAAAATGTATATAAACACAAGCAAAGAAGTACCTGTGGAGACATTTTCACCCAACTTTTGTCATTGGTTTGTTGGGCAACTTGAAACTGCAAGGGTAATTGCTGAGAAAATAAAGGCGCATGTATGTTTTGCTGGTGAGATTGCATTAAAGGTGTTGCATGTTGCATGCGGAGAGAAGAGGGAGGACCAAGAGGGGACACCATAGGAGACTGAGGAGCATTCTATAGTAAAAATATAAAACAAAAAAAAGAAGACATAAAATAAAAAAACAAACTTAAAAGTAAATAAATAAAATGTTTAATACATGCATAAATAATGAAAATCATACAGAAAAGAAAGCAGAAAATTATATTCGATACAAAATACCACATAATGTCAATCAATCAAATAAATGGACGATTGAAAATTAAAAAAATAAAAATAATAACAGCAAAATGCTACATAAAAACATTAAACATTTGGATTTTATCACGATTTCCATTGAATTAAAAATTTCTGTCAACAAACCTAATATTTCATACTTTTGAATCAAACAATTCAACCTTCACAATTTTAACATGGCTTAAAATTGCACATTAGTATACTAAAAAGATATAAAAGAAAGAAACCACAAGCTTGCAAATCAAAAAAAAAAAAATTCCCCAAGTAAAGTATTTCTTAATATAAAAAATATTCACTCTTTGCACATTATTAACATAAGTTACAATAATTTTATGAACACTCAGAAATTGAGAATATACTAATGAACATTCTATTAGTTCAAAAAATTATCTGAAAATTTAAGCATACATTATGGTACATCAGGTATATCAGAACTAAAAATTATACCCTAAAAGAATTTTTATAGCTTTTTAATTATGTAAAAAAATTGAATTTAGCAAAGATGGACTTGATTTAATAATAGATAAAAATAGCTCACTAAATCTAGGGTAAATTAGAATTAATATATATATATATATATATACATATAGTGAGACATCATGTTATGGACACTCCCGTAACGGGACGCGGACAGATATTTTTGCCCTGAAAAGTTATTTCCTATCTTTACAAACCGGACACTACTTTTTCTGAATTTGAAAAAAATATATATATTTATGCATTAAATTGCAACAAAAAAAATCACCCTTTTCCCATTTTTACAGCATGTTAATTATCTGTCTTATCCATAACTAAAAATATTGCTAAGCTATTTCACTACTAAAGAATCAACACAATCTGTCACTTTGCCTAATCTTTGCAAAGAAAGAATTGAAAACTATACTGCTCTTATTTCATAGTATATATATAT